CCTGTTGATGGTTCAAGAATTCCCTAAAAAATTTAAATTGATCACATGTAATATGTTATATTAAGTTTTGCTTTCTGAAAAAATGGAGAAGTAGCACTGAACTGAGGATTAGGCCTCTCAAATTTAGCTAAAATCCAGGGAGTGCAGGCAGACAGCAGGGTGTGTGACATCCAAAAACCAGCCACCCAGAGGGTTTGACAAGCATCTGCTCCCCAGGTGGGAAGCTAACAGACCCCTCAGCCTTAGAGTCAAGTAAGCTGCCAAGCCATGAGTCAGGCACGTGGGGAATCCAAAAAGCTGGGTAGCCTCTCCATCTACCAGGGTCAGAAACCACTGTGGAAACAGAGACGCTCGGTTTCCTACCGAGAAGCTCAGGTGGGCTGACTGATGGGCTGTTGACAGGAAACCAATTGGGCAAAGTTGGCAGGCCAGCCAGCCTGGCTTCCATTGGAAGGTTTGGCAGAATCAGTTTCTTCCTTTGAAATTATTTTGATTAAACTGACTGAGCATTTGCTAATGGAAGGCTGACCTTTACAGAGACATTTAACTAGTGCTTCCAGCATGGTGCTAAATGGGGTGGAGTAGTCCCAGGGATGGTGTTGGAAGCATTTGGAAGAGTTCCCAATGTCTATTGAAACAGCTTGTAAAGCCGGCTTCCTAGAGGTGCTGTTTCTCAATGGGTTTGGACACTGTCACGTGCAGTGTTTTCTTCTTTTGTCTTTGTTTCCTGCACTTCTATTCTCTCCCAACCAGCTTGTCATTTCTCAGCTCATGAGGAGCCTAGGCCGGTAGTCTTGAGACTTCATGCTGCTGCCTAATGGCATTGGAGCAGATGCACCAATGGATGCCAGGCACCCTTCATCACAGCACCTGAAAGGCAGTCCATGCCCACTAATAGCACTGGCATGTATTGGGGTGTGCAGCCTTTTGCATCAGTGAGTGAAGTCTTTGTTCTTTTTGCTAATGGGCAGGGGGTTCCAACGGTGTTATATAGCTCAGCCAGTCTGTAGTTATGAAAAAAATGACTTTCTGGGTGGGTGCCAGGGTTGAGGGATGAGAGAAGCTGACTGCAGCCCAAGATGGAGACCATATTGCTGTCTTCCTTCTTTCCCTTGGTTTTCCTCTCTCTCATGCTCAGGTCATGGTCTACAGGGGGGTGGGGGGCGGTGCTGGCTGGAATGGTGGCATGTTCCATCATGGTTCTAACCTACCTCAAAGATGACCTTCTTCCTGCCAGTAGCTAGCTCACTGTTGGGTAGAACCATTTGGCTTCCTTCAAGGCAGCTCTTTCTTGGCCAAACCTGGTTGTGTTTTCTGGTCTATGCAGTCAGACAAAGAGCCATCCAGCACACTTCAAGGTATGCAAGTGAGTAAGAATAAAGATTCTGGCCTTTTGTCTTTTCCACAAAGACTCAATACAGTTTCATAGGTATCAACTAGCTTTCATGGAGCAAAATGCAAGCAGCTGTAACTGTCCTATCACTAATAGAGTCCCTTCTTAGTTAAGCCAAGGCTTCTATCTTCCAGGCACATTGCAGAGCTGTGAGAGTTGGGTGCAGCCAAAACATCTTTGTCCATGGGTTGGGGTAGCAAAAGGGTCTCTACTGCAGTGGGGGCTTCAGTAACTGCACAGCCTCTTTGACCCCTGCTTTGTCCTGTTCTGGTGCCCACATTTTTAAAAGGAGATTAACTGGGAAGCTAATCAGATTCAGAATGATTCAAGATCTGGAAAACTTACCTTCCAGTGAAATATTGATGGATCCAAATGGCTTTAGCCTATGGACAGTGAAGCCATGTGATCATGGTCTACTATACATAAATCAACATTTCTGATAGGAGGATCTAAATTAAGCAAACAGTGGCAGAGTATAATCCAGTGGCTGGAAACTGAAACTAGACTGTGTATAAGATGCATCTTTTTTTTT